TTTTTTTTTAATGATGAAGATTATTTTTTTATTGATGAAGATTTTTTTTTCTGATGAAATTTTTTTCTGCTGAAAAAAATGAAACGGTTTTGATGAAACATAAAAAACTCAGGACTTACCCTCAAGCAGCTTACCTTGGAATAATCCCGATGAGGACAGAGCTGAGACAAAAATGATTTAATGGGAAGGGAGAAAAATGGGTGGAAAAATCGCTTTTCCCTTCCCCAGGCCGTGGCAGAATTCCTCTGGGGATGCTCCCATCTTTTCCCATCTTTTCCCCTGGGGCTCCTGGCTCGGAGTGTCCCCAGGTCAGCCCATGCTGGGAGCTTTGTGTACTCGCTGTCACCATGGCCACCCTGCCAGGGCCACTTGGGGACAGTGCAGGTGGCCCCGGCCGTGGCAGCTTTGTTGGTTTCCCTGGGCAAAGCCAACGTGGGGAACACACCCCGAGTTTGGAATTTCCATCCCAACTCCTCCAGGGGAGGAGGCTGAGCCCAGCTCGGGTGGCACTGGTGGCACTCCCAGCTCGTGTCCCTGCAGCTCCAGGCTGGGTGAATTCCCACCAGGAATCCCCAAAAGGCAGAGGAGCAGCTCAGAGGGATGAGAGTCCTGAGCTCTGCCAGCTCTTCTTCACCTCCTGCACCCCCTGCTTTTTTTTGGGGGGTCGGCCCAGCCATTTCTCCTTGCTTGCCCTTGACCTCTTCAGCTCTGAAAATCGAGGCAAACAAACAGAGGAAAAAAAAAAAAAAACAGAAAATTTGAAGAGTTATGGCAACAGCTCTTAGTCTCCATAAAATCAACCCAGGTCGCTTTGCACTCTTTCCTTCGTTATTTAAATTTAGAACATCCTGGATCAACACCACTGGGTTTTTTTAAATGACTTAAATCACAAAATCTTAAATTAAATTCTAACAACATGGAATACTCAAACCCTTAAACTTTTTGTGGTAGTGATCAAAATCAGCTTCTGGTTTGCTCCAGTCCAAAATAATTCTTTTTACAGAGACTGCATGGTTTAAGTACAGGTGTCTCAGTTTGAAACCTCCAGCTCTGAGGTTTCTTCTGCCCTCTGATTTAGTGGCCCATGGAATTGGTGCTTCTGAATGTGACCAAACAAATGCAAGTTGCTTTTCCCTCAGGAGATTGCCACTGAGGAAACTTTTCCACACGGAAATCTCTCAGGCTTTCTGATTTTTACATCAATATCCGTGAACTGCAGCTGCTTACCTGGAGGGGCTGCTTGCCATCCATCACCCACAAAAATCAAATGGCTGGCAGAGGGGAGATTGCCACTGGCAAGCTGCACTTGGTTCCTTTATTTCCGGGTACTCAATCCTTTAAAGCAGGAAAACTGCAAAAAACAAACTCCTTCAGGGGTGTTGAGGGGAGCTGTTTGCTTTGGGCTGCAGTTACTACAGAAACTGTGCCTGCCTCTGTCCCTTGGTGGCTCAAGCCTAGGCTTGCCTGCTGACCCAGGGCACAGCTCATTTAATCTGGCTAAGAATGCTCCTGCTGAGCTGGGGGCCTGATTTCAGCTCCTCTGGACGCTTTGGACACATTTCCCCAGGGTTCAGCGAGCTCTGGACCAGCCCCATGGATATCCAGGCACTGATTTTTTAGTGATTTGGCTTTTTTTTTTTTTTTCTGTTCCTAGTAAGGATTAAAGCAACATCATTTCACAAAAGGCACAAAAATCTCCTCATTTATCCCCTGCTTCCTCTCAGCCAGAACTTGGCTGTCCATCCTGGGTTTTTCTGGGATGAAAACAGTTTTTGTTTGGATGCAGCCGGGAATGAGTGGGAGCACAATTTGTTGGCTGCTGTTTAATGGATGTCCCTCTCTCCTTGGCATGGGCTGTGCCAGTTTTGGTCCAGACATTTCCCTCCTCAGCAGTTGTTCCCCAAATGGGGCACCCAGGGCTGTGTTTTCTTGCAGTCAGTGACAACTGGCAGCCCTGGGAAGGATTTGAGCCTGATGAATCTCCCTAATTAATTAAAGCAGCCACTTTGTCTTGTCGCTGCAAGGGGGTGCCAGAACCCCTCCTCTGGTATTCTGTGACATTAACAGGAAAATAATGCTTGGACTCCTGCATGATATTAAAAATACCAATTAAAAAATTTCACAGGACTTCTGTACCAACCACAATTTGAATGATCAGAGCCAAGTGGGTGAATTGCTGAGAACTTTGCCAAAATCTCCCCGTGTTTGCTGCTGCTGATGTGTAGAATTTGTAGAATTTGACCTCCTGCCTCTCATCACCCAAGAAATATCCCCTCACTGCAGGGCCGGTTTCTCAGGTGAGGGCTTTGTTTGTGCTCACCTGCAGTTCCTGTGCTAGCCCTGGGAACAAGGAATGAGGCAGAGGAGGTGAGGAGGGATCCCTCTGGTGTCCCCTGAGCATTCCAGCCCTTGTCACAGAATTCCCCCACTCACAGGGACTGCCTGCACCTGCAGCATTTAGCAGAGATGCCTCAAAACCCCCACCCTGTGTCTCTGTGTGACCCAAACCTCGCTGGCATTTGGGGCAGGATGGTCCCTGGAGAATTCCTGGGGTTGAAATGGGGCAGGGATAGAAATGATGAACAGATTCTCCACCCCAGGGCAGGGCTTGCCATTGGGAATGCTGCTTTGGCTTGGGAGGGCTCAAGAATGAAAAGAAATTTAAGTTGAGAGGAAGAGGTTGTGTCTTTTATTAGATTGCAGTCTGATATTGAGGAAAACCATCTTGAAATCAAAGCAATCAGATTAATATCAAGAATTTGGCCAGAAAGACAAAATCGTCCCTAGAGGAATCCCAGTCTGTGTGTCTGGGATTGTTTAGGAAACCCTGAGTGGACTAAACTTACTGAGAAGGACTTCAAAAATTAGAATTATGTGCATCACCCACCATTTTTAAGTGGCAAATTTTGCTCTTTGATATCTCCCTGGACACCAATTTTGTCAGCTCAGTTAAAAACCCACAGATCTGTGGTGGTTGCCTCCAGATTTTTGGAACACTCCCTGCTCCTGCAGTTCAACCACACTGTAACAAAATCAATGTGATCAAAACTTTATAGTCACTTGAAAACTTTTATTTTTAGTGGGGTGTTTTTGCCATGTCACCATGGATCAGACTTTTAAAAACATAGAAAAACTGATGTGGCTGGAGAGTTTGCAAGGGGAATCCACTCAGCTCAGAAAATGACATTTTGAAAGGAAGTTGAATCTCCAGAATAAAACTCAGGCCTCAGGCATGGAGAGGCAGCTTGGCAGAAGGTTCCAGAGCTAATTCTGGATGCAGACAGAGTCAGAATCTTCCCAGACTGCACAGCCAGGGGCCAGAAAATGCTGTGTGGAAATTCTTCCCTGCAGCAGTTTCCTGTTGTCCTGCAGCACTCCCCAGCAATGCCAGGCCAGGCTGTCCCTGCTCTCTTCTCTCCATGGAAAAGGAAGGGATGACTCAGGGAACAAAATCCTGCTGGGTCACCCCAGCAGCACACGGGGAGGGGACCCCTGTGGTCACAGCACTGGGGGTCCTATGGCTGAAAATTAAAAAAAAAAAATAAAATCTGGAAGCTTTTTCTGAGGATCCCTTCTCTGTCTCAAATTCTGATTTCTGTTTCTTTTGGGTGGTCGTGGAAAGGGAAAGGTCCCCACTGGCTGAGGAGGGGATTTGATATGTGACACAAAGGAAGAGAATTAATATGGGGCTGTTTTGTGGTTTATTACTCATTTATTAAAAACAGAATTTGTACTGAAATCCTTGGTCTTCTATTTTTCTTTTATTATTATTATTTTTATGTGATGCAGGAAGAATTTTTTTGTGTGATGCACAAATTAAAGAACGAGGAAGGAACTGTGTGAGTGGAGAGAAATGAAATGCAGAATTAGCCAGGAATTTGTGGTTTAGGGACTCAATTTGTGCCTCCAGGCTCGGTGTTTCTCATCCCCTGCCTGCTCTCACCCCGGGCTGAGATGGGACTCACCATCCCCAGCCCTGTGAGAGCCACTTTTGAACTCTCAGCTTTTTATTTTTTTGCTTCCATTTGTTCTTTTGTCTCGGCACTTCCTGGGATCTGACCCCTGAAAAAAAAACCATATAAATCCACGCTGATAATGTGAATTAGGAAACTCAGTGATGTGAGAAATCCAGAATCAAGCAGTTTCCTAAATAAGGAACGCCAAATGTGAAGGGTTCATGTGGAAAATCATCGTGTTAAGTTTGCCACAAGCAGTCCAGCACAATTCTGATCATTAATTAATTAGCCTGGTGCTGTTTTCCTTGTGGTGAATATTAAATATTCCACAGGGATTTATGGGGTAGACTGACGGACACAACAGAATTCAGAATCAATTCAATCACCCTAAAAGAGGGAGCTGATGTTGGAATAAAGCTGAGGAGAGCGGGAATCTCTTTGGAACACGTTGTTAATTAATCCACCATTAATCACACACCTGCAGCTCCTGCACACCTGGATATTCTTACATTCCTCAGCCCCACGTGATTCCTGTCCCATCAAAAGCCTGACCCAACTGTGCCAGGGGAAGAGGGAGGGACCCTTTGGGTGCTGGGGTTCCCCCTGTGTGACTGATCCAGGGCTTTGTGGGATTTTTATCTGTTTTTCTTGGCGCCTCTCTAAGCTGTTTGTGAAGTTTATCTCAAGTTTTTAGTGTCTCTGCTGTGAAAAGGTGATGGTTTGGGTATTTTTTTTAATATTAAAGAATGATATCTTTGTAAGATTTGCTTGTGATATATGTGACAAATAAGAACTATTACGCTTTAAACTTTTTTTAATATTCTCTCTTAACTTGCTTAATGCAAGTACCTTCTAGTAATGCATTAAACTGGTTTTAATATCCCAAATTAAATTTAATCTGCTGCTTGGCAGTCAGGCTTATCCAGCCTCTGTCTCTCCTGGCTTGTGCAGGTTTTGCAGCATCAGTTCTTGGAACCTGACAGTGCCTTGACGTTATTAAATCTCTCCATCTCTATTCCAGCACCTCCCGTGCTGCAATTCAGGATGAAAGATGAAATTGCTGCTGCGGTTTTCTTCGTCACCAAGCTGGTGAAGAGGGAGGGCAAGCTGAGCAAGGAGGAAATAGAGAAATTTGCAGCAAAGCTGACCACGATCCTGTTCGAAAAGTACAAAAATCACTGGTACCCAGACAACCCATCCCGAGGGCAAGGCTTCAGGTGAGAGGGAGAACCTGGAGCCTCGGGCTGGCACTCAAGGAGCAGCTCCTGGAGGCTTCAAAGTGAAATAAATAATGCAAAGTGTAAAGGGAACCACCAGGATACCCCTTGAGCTTGAAGGAACATTATTAATTGGTGAAAAATTTATTTTTTTTATCTGTAAATGTGTGATTAGAAAACTGAGGTGGGAATTTTAAGACAAGTGTCCTGAGGTTCTGCCAGGCTGCAGAATTCAAGTGGTCTTATAGAGACTTTTGGGGTGGTTCTGTTTAAACACTTCAAGCAGCAAATTACCTCATCAGGTATTGATGAGAATGAAAAGCCAAGCCCTGTTAGAGCTGATAAATGAGTTTTGTGAGGCTGAACTGCTGGCTGGGGCTGCAAGTGAGAACCTGCACCAGCAGGTCCAAAATGCTGAACAACCAACAGAGATTTTTGGGGGTGCTGTGCACGAGCAGAACCCACAAAGCTGCAGAGAAATCCCAACTCCAGGTGCCCTCTGCTGCTCCCCAGGTGCATCAGGCTCAACAAACAGCAGGCACGGGAGCCCCTGCTGGAGCAGGCTTGTGTGGCCAGTGGGCTGGAGTCCATCCTGCTGGGCTTGCCCAAGGAGGTGACCGTGTGGGTGGATCCCTTCGAGGTGTCCTGCAGGTGAGCTCAGAGCCTGGGGCTGGCTGGAAAGTTATTATTTTTTAATTTCTCTGATGATAAAAGTGAAACAATTTTGCCGTAAAAAAAATTTCCAAAAATAATTCAGGACTTACCCTCAAGGAGCTTACTTTGGAATAGTCACAATGAGGACAGAGTTGAGACAAAAATGATTTAATGGGAAGGGGAAAAATGGGTGGAAAAATCGCTTTTCCCTTCCCCAGGCCGTGGCAGAATTCCTCTGGGGATGCTCCCATCTTTTCCCATCTTTTCCCCTGGGGCTCCTGGCTCGGAGTGTCCCCAGGTCAGCCCATGCTGGGAGCTTTGTGTACTCGCTGTCACCATGGCCACCCTGCCAGGGCCACTTGGGGACAGTGCAGGTGGCCCCGGCCGTGGCAGCTTTGTTGGTTTCCCTGGGCAAAGCCAACGTGGGGAACACACCCCGAGTTTGGAATTTCCATCCCAACTCCTCCAGGGGAGGAGGCTGAGCCCTGTGGGCTCCATCCTGCTGGGCTTGCCCCAGGAGCTGAAGGTGTGGGTGGATCCCCCCCAGGTGTCCCGCAGGTGAGCTCAGAGCCTGGGGCTGGGTGTTCTGTCAGCCTAAAGCTGCTCCCAGCCCTGACACCTGAGGCTCCGGGCATTTTTTGGGGTGATCCGGCCCCTCCCAGAGCAGCAGCGCTCACCTGTTGCAGGTACGGGGAGAGGAACCAGCCCTTCACCGTGGCACGCTTTGATGGGAAGGAGAACCCCGAGCTGCCCCAGCACGTCAGCCTTGCTGTGGCCAAGGCAGCCCTGGACTATGACTCGGGAACCTCCTCGGACGAGGAAACCTTCAGCAAGGAGCCCAAAGCCATCCCCACTGTCAGCAACCCCAACAGCATCTACCAGGTGGGGCCCTGGGGGGACCCTCTCACCCCAAAACCCCTCCAAAGAGGTTCTGAGCTGGCTCAGGTGAGATTTTTCTCACCCCAAAACCCCTCCAAAGAGGTTCTGAGCTGGCTCAGGTGAGATTTTTCTCACCCCAAAACCTCTCCAAAGAGGTTCTGAGCTGGGGCTCAGGCTCCTCAGGATGAGAGGGAACAGCCTCCAGCTGCTCCAGGGGAGGCTCGGGGTTGATTTTTTCCTCTGGGAGGGTTTTCCAGTGGTGTCACTGTCTGTAAAAGCGTGTACAGCCTGGTTTTAAATGTAAAACTCTTCCATGCTTTGTGAAACAAAGTTAAGAAGCTGTGGACCTGTTTCTTACTGATGAATTGCCGTTGTACCCCTCAGTTACACCGCTTGTTTTAACAGCGGTATGTGAATTATTTGGAGACTCGAGAGCTGTTTGCAGGGGCTGGTGCCCACCCCTGGAGGGGTCTAACAGATGTGGGCACAGCTGGGCTTGTCCTTGAGAGGCTTTTCCCACCCTCAGAGATGCTGTGAGTGGGGTGGAGCTTTGGCAGGAGCAAACAATTCCTTCCCTGGGGATGAACCTGGTGGGACTGGGGCGGCCTCACTGCTCCCCACTTCTTTCCCCCTTTTATTTAACTTTTTATTTCCCTTTTTTTTTTTTCTGCTCGTTTTGGTGACTCCTGCAGGCTCCTCACCTGCCCTGGTGGCAGTTCCAGCACAGGAAGCTGCACCTGGCCGAGGGCTCCCACTTTGGCCAGCCCAGGGGCTACAGGAGCGGGGTCACGGTGGACAGGTACCACTGGATCAACCCCAAGAAATAGAGCCCGGGCTCCTGCCCTGCTTTACAGCCCCGATTTTGGGAGGAGGTGAAGGCTGGCACTGCACAACCTCATGAAAAGAGCACTTCTCATCTAATCGCTGATTATTTATTAATTTTTGGGGGGGGGGGGTTATCACAGATTTTTAACAGTTTTAATTGATGCTAACATAAGAATAAAGATGTAATGTGAGATTCTTTTTGTGGATTTAAAGAGGAAATGCTTAAATTAATAAATTATTAGATTAATAAACCTGCTGTTGTTATCCAAGCCAGCTGCTGGTGGTGCTTTGAGGGGTGTTCAGGAGTTTTCTGGTGGAAGATTAAAAACCATCCCCCGAGCTGCTTTGAAGGACACTTTGCTTTTTTTCTGGCAAAGCTGTGAGGAGCCAAGACCTAAATATCACCAGCAGAAATGTCTGGGGTATTTAGTGACTCCCAAAAATATTTAAATTTTGCTGTGCCCCCATGATAGGAGGGAAAAAAAAAAAAAGAATTTTGAGTTAATTTTTTTTTTATTATTTTTTTCTTCCCTCACTTGCTTTTCATCTACACTGGAGGCTGGGCTGGTGTTTCACTGATTGGGAAATATTGACTTTTTCATGTTTTGGGGTTTGGTTCTGGAATTTGGGAGCAGGACAGGCTGATTGCCCAGGTTTAAAAACAGGAATGGTCTTGGGCAGTGCATTCCTGGGTGGGTGGTGGCACAGAGCTGAAATAAGGCGAATTCAGAAGTTGCTTCAATGATGGAAATTTTAATATTTCTTGCACTTGAAATGTAATTGCACAGCTATAATTAACCCAAATAACCGGCTCTGCAGTTTTTGCTGTGTCATAAAATCAGAAAACTGCAACTCTCAGCTGCAGAGGCCTCAGAGCACCTCGTGGAGTGATGCAGTGGTTGAAAGAATAATTTATTTCACACCAGGAATTGAGTGATTCTAGATTTTTGCTCCTGTTCCTGGAAACTCGGAGCCTGGGCTTTTTGCAGCAATATTTCCTCTCAGCACTTGGAGAGGGCCAGAAATGTCAACTCCTCCAGCCAAAGTCTTGTCACTTCAATTACTGCACTGCTTTCCCTCCTGATTTAATGAGCCTTGGCCACGGGGAGGAAAAATCCACTGGAATAAAAGCAAAAAAAAAAAAAAAAATCGAGGATTTACTTTGGGTTGGAGCCCAGTGCCCAAAAGAGAGGAGCAGGAACCAAACCACAAAATTCTGAGCATCACAAATTCCTGCCCTGGGCTATTTCCTCCTCTAAAGCCTTGATTTGTTTTCCCAAACTCTGCTTCTCCAAGCTGGTTATGTCAAGGTAATAAGAGAGCAGATCTTCATTGCCTTCACTGCTCAAAAACTGCTGCTCATCCTCCACAATCTGCAGCAGCTCCTCAGTCAATGCATCCACTTTGTCCTCCAGTTCTGAGAGGGACAAGGAAGCCACAGTTTCCTCTTCAAGGCTAAAAAAAAAAAAAAAAAACAAACCCAGGAAAATGTTTAAAATGTTAAATGAAAATTAGATTTTAAAAATTAAAGAAATAAATTTAATTAAAGTGAAAACTAAACTTAAACGTTTAAATTAAAGAAATGCCAGAATTCAAGTTTCATCTTAACAAGAGCAAACCAGGAAGATAAATTTCACTCTACAAGGTAGTGAAATAATAAATTTAAATAGCAAATAATAGGAAATGATGCTCACTGTGCCCTCTGTCCAAGGCTTTCCCTTCCACTGCTGCTCAGGGGGTGGAGGAAATTCTCTTTTTTCTTCACCAGCCACTTGTTGCTGAGTGATTCCTCAGATTTCACTCGGAGCAAGAGGTCCTTTGTGACCACAGAGGTGGAGAGAGCAGATAAATGTTAATTTTAAATATCTTTCTGTAGATTTTTAAAATCTATTTTCATGATATTGCTGTCTATGCTGACCTAATGGTTTACATGAAGTGAAATAATTTCTTTTAACCTTTAACAGAGTAATCTGGAAACAGCTGGGTTTTATAAATCCTTTAATTGTCACTTTAAAAAAACTAAAAAATTAGGGATGGTGAAGATTTTCAGCCAAGTCTGGTGATTTTTATTTTTTTTTTCTTGTTACCTTCTCAAAGGCTTCCACGTCTGTGAGGTTTTTCACTCTCACTTCCAGCAGTTGGGAGATCAGATTTATTTCCTCTGTGGAGAATGGCTCCTCTTGGAGCAGAATCTGATTTATCCCCTGGGATTTATTCCCTGGGGCAGCTGCTGAGAGCTGCAGCCTGAGGGAGAACATCTCACTGAGACAGGCCTTTAGAGCCTAGAGAAATTTAAAAAAAAACACAAAAAACCAACAGTAAATAAAACTTTATGAAAGGTTTGGAGAACCTGCATCACATCAAAAAAGGAGGGAAGGAAGGAAGGAGGGAGGAAAATTCCAATTCCTGCTTTATTTTCCAATTAATTTCTCTGTTTTTTGAGCCAGACTTGTGCTGATGAAAGTGTTGTTTCTTTTTTTTTTTTTCTGTTGGATTTTCCCATTTTCTTCCCAGCTGAGGGTTAAGATGGAGTTGTCCTGTTTTTATTTTCGCAGTTCTGGCAGCATTAACCCTTCCCTTTTAAAATAAGATTTTTTTTTTAAATTTTTTTTTTTAACCAGAGATGATTTGAATGTGATTCTATTGAGCAAATGCTGAGGTACCTGGTGGAAAAGGCTCAGGAAGAGGGGGTTGGAGTCGTGGCTCAGGTCCCCAGCAGTGACATGAGCCCAGCAGTGCACGAGGACCAGCAGGAATCCTCCCCCAGAGCCCAGGCACTCCCTCAGGATGAAGAGTTTCTTCTTGGAATTCTGAGAAAAAAATAAAAAAAATTTGAATATCCCCATCTGGGACAAGGGCACAGCAGGATTTGGCTCAGCTGATGAAAATCTTCCAGGGGTTTATTTAAATTCCAGGTGAGTGCAAGGATTCAGAGCAGTGGATTTCATTCAATAATCTGTGATGGGAATTGAAAACATTCCTGTGCTCTCTGCTCTAGGCAGGTTTAGGTTTTGTGAACTTTAGGAAACTTTAAAAATGGGACTGAGTAGCCTGATTTTATAATTTAATTACAGCAGTTTGTAATTTAGCTATGGTAAGTAAAATGCTGATCCACTGAGTCCTGTAAAGCTGACCTAGAGATAATTTGGTAAAAATAAAAAGTGGGAAAACTTGGATGTGAGAAACTGGAAAATCAGAGTTTATTTATTAAATGTGCTTTGGGTATGACCCTCCCATTAAATAAGGATTTAAATGTTGCTGTGCCAGGTTTGTGCTCACATATCTGGAGATTATTAACATTTGATGATTTCTTATATAATTATTATTTTTCCCCTTAGAAAGTATCAAGCATCCTGCCACTTGCAGAAAATATTTAATGCTTTTCATTTTGCTTCCCAGTGCTGGAATTGATGGATAGAACAACGGGTGCGGGGTGGGCAAACCTGATAAAAAAAGGAATTTCTGAAGGCATTGCCTGGGGCATCGCTCTGGGGGAGGCTGGAGGCCACAGCCAGGGTGAATTCTGGAGCCTGCAAAGAAAAAGGAAAACGCTCCTGTGAGAACCTCGAGCACACCAGGGATTAATGGGATGTGAGTTCCTGTAAATCCAGCTCTGATCTGGGGTGAGTGCACAGAGCCAAAAAAAAAAAAAAAAAATCCACATGGAAATGGAGACTGCTCGAAAAAACCTGAGCGTTTCCTCTTGCCAGTTGTTTAATTAAGTAAATGAAAGTGTTCTCCAGGCTCTGGGTGGGGTCACTACAATTTTTATTTTTATCTTTTTATTTAATACTGCACAAAGCAGCCCGGAGAGTTTACCCAGAGGTGTGCAGAGAGAATGGCAGAATCCTTATTCTGAATTATAAAGGGAATGTATTTTAACACAAAATTATGCAGCGGGAAGGGATTAATTAATAAGGGATTAATTTAAGAGGTGTGGTTGAGAAACAACAAATGTAAGAACTGATGTGGATCCTGGAAAACAGGAGAGGAATTTAATTCCTGCTGTTTGCACACTGGGCATCCTCGAATTGATTTTAATTTGGTAAATTGATTTTCATGTAGCCCGTGGGCTGAGGAGTGTTTTGGGGTAAATTTTGTAAATTTTAAACACTTACTTGAATGTGAAACGTGAGGAATTGTAGGATGGAGAGGCCGTACTGGAACACCACAAACTCCCTGGGAGAAAGGGCTGCAGGATCCACTGCACTCAGCTCTCCTTCCTGAGCACAGATTTCTGCTGCAAGAACAGGAGAATTTCATTCATTCATCTCTGTTTGCATTTTTCCTTGTCCAAGAGGTAACACTGCAACACGAGCAGATTAAAAAAAAAACCCTGCATTTTCCCATTTATTTCACTATTTCTCAAAGCAAAATGAATCCCTGTGGATGCATTTTGAATTATTGTAAGGATAATGAAGGAAATGTCCAAAACTTTGCTTTTCCTGGAGAAACTCCTCATAATCAAGGTGTGGAAAAGTGGCATTAGAGCTGATCAGCAGCAAATTCAAATTATTTGGGGGCTGAGTCTTTCTCCTTCATTGGTAGAGAATAAATGAGGTGTTTGTGCAGCTCCCTCAAGGACGAAGCAGAAATCTTCCAATTCCACCCAATTCTGGCTGGTTTGGAGAAGGAAATGAATGAAAATTTACTTTTCTGCAGCCTTTGGCTCTGTCCCAGCCCTGCTGCCCCTGCATTCCTCCGGAGCTCATCGTTCACCTCCTGCAGGAGGCCCAGGAGAAACGAGGAGGTTTCACATTTCATTTCATCCCCTGTGTGAAGAGAGAGCAGAAATGTTCTTTTCTCAAACAATCCATTTCTCACCACATTTTTCCTAGCAAATGTTTCATGCGTGGGGGGATTTTGTAGGCAGGGTGAGACGGTGGCAGGAAAAAAAAACCCAAAAAAAGTCAAAATTCACTTTTTTTTAAATTATTTTTTTATTTTTTTTACCGTGCAGGGGAGGTGCTGTGAGCTGGGGGTTCAGCAGGGTGATCCTGGATGCCATCAGGTGCTCTGCCTGCTTCAACACCTTGATACCTGTGAGAAGAGGAAAATTACAGACATGGCCTGGCCAAATTCCAGAGGGATTTGTGCCCTTTCCTTTTTCCTGAGCTAATTTTGATTCTCTTCCACAGCATCCAGGCCTCAGTGTGAAAAATGAACTCTTAGGATTAAAAGCTGTTAAACCACTCCCAAAAATGAGATATTCAGTAAAAAAATTACAATGTAGGAATGTGTTGGGATCTCTCCTCTGTTCATCCCCATTAGGGACCCTCAGGTATCAAAATCAAAACTTTATCAATGTCAATAATTAATCCCAGCTCACTGAAGAGGAAAATTACAGACATGACCTGGCCAAATTCCAGAGGGATTTGTGCCCTTTCCTTTTTCCTGAGCTAATTTTGATTCTCTTCCACAGCATCCAGGACTCAGTGTGAAAAATGAACTCTTAGGATTAAAAGCTGTAATTTTTTACTGAATATCTCATTTTTGGGAGTGGATTAACGATGTAGAAATGTTTTGGGATCTCTCCTCTGTTCATTCCCATTAGGGATCCTCAGGTATCAAAATCAAAACTTTATCAATGTCAAAAATTAATCCCAGCTCACTGAAATCCCTGGACTTACTCTTAGTCAGGAACTGCAGGAGCTGATCCTCTGCCTTGGGATGTGTCCCTGGAATTTGGGAATTCTGGGAATTCTGCTCCATTTTCCCTTTTTTCTCTCCTCCTAATCTCGTTCTCTGTGCCTCCAGCTGGAAATCCTTTGCTAAGGAAGATTTCCTCACCAAACCCTGCAAGGAAAAGGAAAAGGAAAAGGAAAAGGAAAAGGAAAAGGAAAAGGAAAAGGAAAAGGAAAAGGATGAAACAGTGCCTGGAAAAAGGAAAAGGATTTAACAGGGCCTGGAAAAGCTTTGGGATTTCCCAGACTCTCTAAGGGGAGCTCTCTGTTGTAGATAAGGCAGGTCCAGACCTCACAATCAGTAAAAAAAAAACCTCAAAAACCCCTAAATTCACCCTTTTGGCCATAACTTCCCTTTGGAAGCTCTTCTACTATTTCTAATTTCTTCAAATCTTACATTCCTGCTCTCCACTGTCAACCATTTTCTTCATATATATTAT